AGGCGGATTCTGAAGGAAGTGTCCAGAATAGAGATAGTGGAGGCAAAAGCAATACGAAAGCAATGGGTACCCACAGAAATGAAAAGCAACACAAGCGAAAATCGCCTGTCAAGGCAAAGGAGCATAAAAAGAATGGAGCTCCAAATAAGAATGAGAAGAAACCGCATAGCCCAGTAAACTCTATGCGCAGCGACAAAAAGGAGGAGCATTCGGGAAAGAAACCAAAACAAACCGAAAAAGGAATTGAAGAGGCGTTGAAAGAGGCTCGGACTCAAGAACACCAAGATGTTATTGTCCATGAACCTACATTTCAACCTTTACTTCGTCAAATCCAAACAGCCCGTTGCTACAGACTGCTTCGACCACCTGCTCGAACCTCTCAACAGCTCACCAGTCCACTTATGCCGTCTCCATGTCCCAATACTCCGACAAACCGTTTCTCAACTCCACCATTAATAAAATCTGTTAATGTGCCCATAATAGTCCCATTACAGCCGGAACAATATAATGGGTATATAGCCGGAGCAACATCACCGCAGGCAAGAGATGGAAAATCCATTTTTGCGGATAAGAATCTTCAGCCAATGGATATATATCCTTAACATTAATGCTCTTATTGTACAATAATCAATCGATAACGATAGTAACATACGACAACTAAACTAAACTCAATTCTTGATTTGCTCGATGGACTTAACGCTCTCCGCCTTGTATAGTTCACTTTAAGTTGAAAATAAATATTGTTAAAAAATGTTATCCTTGCCACTTTTTGTAACATTGCGTGATATTCAAAAATTTTGGAAAAATCAGTCTTGCATTTGCAAATAAACTTACACTTGAGACAAATAATGGAAATTCACAACATGAGAGCATTACTCAGAATTCTAGCATAGTATATTTTCCTTTTATAAATTGAAAGTGTAACATCATATGTTTGTGAGCTTCGAACAGTGGAAGTGATTTTTTCTTAAGAAGACATTACATTCTCATCTCTACAACAAGAATCTAAACTATATATTCAATTAAAAATCAATCAATGAACAATTTATTTTTCTTAATCTGTAGCCGGTTATTTTGAAGCAGACTACCAAAAATCCTCTATAATGAGCTTCTCGACTCAATGGTTTTCTGTATGAAATTTTATACAAGTACCCTTTTTTTAAATTTGTACCCGATGAGTGCTATAAATGTTAGACTAAACGCTAATCATATGCTTGATTTTCACTATTGCCAGTAAATTGTTATGCTGAGAGAATTGCTATTGTATTTAGACCTATCGTGCGGTAAGATGCGCACTTGTTATTCAAAAATGTTCCCTAGGAACAACCTCGTTCTTTCCGAAATCTGGAAGTCCAAAGACTTAAATGTCTTTCGCTACTACTTAAGACCAGAGAGCTGTTTAATGAGAAGCAATACAAAGCACAATTATTTTTAAGCGCTGCGCATCAATGCATATTCGGGCTCGCTAGGTGGCACATGTCTCCCTGAAGGTCAGCGATTGCCTATGGTGAAAGCATGGCAGGGCCCTGGCA